GAACCTCCAAACAGTTTTCCATAGTGGTTGTACTAGTTTGCATTCCCACCAGCAATGCAGGAGAGTTCCTTTTTCTCCGCATCCTCGCCAACATTTGTTGTTGCTAGTTGTTTAAAGATGTGCCATTCTCACTGGGGTGAGGTGGTATCTCATTGTTAACCACCATTCTTTTTTTTTTTTTTTTCTCCTCCCAGTTTATACAGTAACTTCATATAGCCAAAAAGTATTTTAGGCCCTCCCTGGTGGTGCAGCGGGTTAAAGCACTGCACTGAGAAGCTAAAGCCACTTTCGCATGAGTTCGATTCCCGCCTGCCATGGAGGTGACCACATGGCGAGGCAGACCTCTCCTGGCCCGCCCGCTGCTCCCCTCAGCAGTGTACTTCGTTGATCTGCCTGTTCTGCTCCCCATTCTGTCTCTGGTGAAGCCTCTCACCACCCCTAGCCTCTGGCCTGTACCCCAGTTCTGTATGCACAAATAAATAAATCTTTAAAAAAAAAAAGGTATTTTAGTGCCATTTAATACATTTACATTGTGTGAGACTGCCACCTTTATGTAGTTTCAAAACATTTCCATCCCTCCAAAGTGAAAGGCCTTACCTATTAAATATTTCCCCATTCTCTCATTCTTTCCCTCAATCCCTGGCAACCATCAATCTGCATTCTGTTTATGGGTTTACCTATTCTGATTTTTTTTTTAAAGATTTATTTATTTGTGCACACAGAACTGGGGTACAGGCCAGAGGCTCAGAGGCCGCGAAAGGCTTCACCAGAGACAGAGTAGGGAGCAGAACAGGCAGATCGACAAAGTACACTGCTGAGGGGAGCAGCGATGGGTCAGGAGAGGTCTGCCTCATCATGTGGTCACCTCCGGGGCAGGTGGGAATCGAACTCAGGCAGAAGTGGCTTTGGCTTCTCAGTGCTGTGCTTTAACCCGCTGTGCCACCAGGGAGGACCTATTCTAAATTTTTTATGGAAGTGGAATCAAACCTTCTGGACCTGACTTTTTCACTTAGCATAATGCTACTGAGTTTCACTCAGTTATAGTGTGTATGTCAGTGATTATTTATTTTTTTGTAGTAGAATGATCATTCCATAGATATGCACATACTTTGTTTATCAGTTCACTTATTAATGAACACTTGGGTGGTTTGCATTTTTTTTTTGTCCCTGTTGGGTTCCAGTTTTCAGTTATTTTGGGTACATACTTGGGAGTTGAATTGTGGAGTCCTACTGTTGCTTTTGCACCATCAGTTCAAATGTCAACACATTAAAACAATCAAATAACATCTAGTATTATTATGAAAGTAGTTTTGATCTCAACGTCCCCTGAAAGTATCTTGGGGATTTGCAGTTCATACTTTGAAATCCTTTGTCCTGTAGATTTAAAAGTTGGTCTTTATGAATATGTAATCTTTCCGTTGTCTCTAACATCAATTAGTAGAGGCTAGGTAATCCTCAGAGTTGTACCCTCTGTGTTTTATACTCCTTACTAATAATCATTAAGGGGACATTTAGAGGAACTAATACTTAAGGAGTTTAAATGACTTACCAGTCATTATTCAACTGTAAGTAGATACCAACCTCAGGCGTTCTTATTTCAAGAGTGGTATAACCAGTATTTCACAGTTCTTAAGGTTAAATGAAACAAATGGAGAGGATTCACTGAGAGAGTAATGTAGCTTATAAAAAGAAAGAAGTTATAATGGTGGTAAAGTACTTAATGGTACCCTTGTTAATTTATTTTTAGAGACATTTTAAATCTGAAGGATGTGATCAGTGTCCAGCTGGAAGATACTTCCTCTAGCAAAAATTTTTGCAGCCAATCTTGTCTTTCATCATATGAAGAAAAACGAAAACCATTGGTTACTATATGTACAAGTAGCATTTTAACCAAATGCAGCATATGTCAGAAGACAAATGTTGTAAGTTGAAGTTTATTTTAATTTTAGGAACTCTGTTTAATGTACTTAAATATCAGTTTTTAATGGAATTTTTTTTAATCCTAGATTCAGTATGAAGTAAAATACCAGAATGTGAAGCATAGTCTCTGCAGTAATGCCTGTTTTTCAAAGTTTCACTCTGTTAACAACCTCATCATGAACTGTTGTGAGAACTGTGGAGCTTACTGTTATACTAGCTCTAATCCATTTCATATACTTCAGATGGAAGGACAGTCTCATTACTTTAATAGTTCAAAGACTATAGCAGCATATAAGCAGGTATGGATAAATTTGAGTTTGACTGCATAAGCCTCATGAAAAATCAAAAATTGAGTTCTTTTCATTAGCTGGACTGTGAATGCCCCCACTCTTGAAATGTGGGGAATGTAGATTTTAGTGCCATTAAAAATGGCTTCAGTTTGCAAGATGATAAAGGAGATGAAATAAAAAAGACTTCTGGCAGTGTTTCTTGCAAAATAATTCATGATAAAGGCAGTATGGAGATTTTTTCCTAAAGAATCTCAAGGTGATCGTTTATAAACCAACAACTAAAAATAACAATAGTCTACTGGTCAGATGAAATCACAAGTATTTTTAATTTCATGTATTTAATTCTTACAACTAAGCAAGATTAAGTTGAATCAAAAATGTCACATGCTTTTTCTGAATCTGTCACTGGAAGAAATAAAACGATGTAAAATAACCCCTTCTGATAAGAGAGCCTTAGGTAGATCTGAGAACAGAAGCTGAACTTGCTTTGGTGGACTGAGTGGCCCAAAAAGACCCAACTTTATCCTATAAATCTTCCTTTCAAACATTAAAATATGATAGACTCAAGCCACAACTCAAATAGGATATTCATGGGCCACATCTTTTCTACGGCAGAAAATCTGTACTATGAGAATATCCTGTCTTGGGACCAGAAATGGGAGAATTTAAGGCCTGGAAGTCTTCCAAAGGCAAAAAATGCCATTACTTATTTTTTTCTTTACCCCTCATATTCAATACATAGACCTTGTTGTTTTTAAGAACCTGTGTTGAGTACTCAGTTATTCAGCTTATATGATGGGGTAGAATGATTTGAGTAAATGAGTCAAAAAGTACCACCTAATCCTGTGCTTAGCATATAAGATGTCGTGAGACTGTTATATGGGGAAAAAAACCTGTATTGTTAGTGTAATATAAGTAAGAATTAGAAAAACATTTAAACTATGGTTCTGAATGGGATGACATTATTTTTAAAAGTGGATTATTTGGTATAATTGTAATTATCTTAACCACATCATAATAACATATATTATTAGCTAAGTATTAGCGTCCACGTGGATAATAAATTAGTTATAAAATTATACCACTATTGTTGCTTAATGTTAAATATTTGGTTGACTGTTCAGTTATTTTCAAAATACAAAAATTTTAACTAGTAACAGACAAAAGTAGAAATTTTCAAAGTTGTATGCTGATTTTCATTTTATTTTTCCCTTGCTAATATCTTATTTCATAGGGAAAAAAAATCTATAAAAGGTATAATAATTTCATTTGTCTTTACACTTTGCACTCCCAAAAGTGGTTGTATTTCTTCATTGCTGTCTGTTTTCACTTAAGACTAGGAATGATGGTTCTTGTTTCACTAGAAATAGGTGATAAAATTCACAGTTTGCACCCTTTTCCTTTGCACGCTTACTACTTACTGTGAACAAATACCTAGTAGGCTTGTATGCTATAATTTTTACCATGAAGTTAGTCTAGAAAAACAGCAATTATGCAGTAATTGTATGTGTATTAAGCATCCTATTCTGGTTCATAGTGCAAGTAGAAGATTATCATGAGTTGGTTCCCAAGCTGCCATAGAAAAAAGACTTATAAGATTTTTGTTTATCAGTTGATTCTAATTGTGTGGGATGATGAGCATCCCAGAACTTTCTTCATTTCTTGCATATGCATTATTAGTAATACATCTCATAAATGACACAGGTAGTTATCTAGTGGATAGATCAGTTTCCTTCATCATAGCCATTGCATTCTATAATGCCTTTTTCTGGCTTTTAGTTAGAAATTATGCAAATGAGGCTTCTTTATCATATTTCAACTAAATAGTGGTAATGGTTCTATGCTTTCTTTTATAATATGTTAATGATATATGTCATATACCAGGAATATGAATGTTATTTTAATCTTTAAACAGAAGCCAGCCAAAACACTTACACCTGTTCTTTGCAAATCATTGAAGCCCCCAGATGAAATGATTGAAACTACCAACGAGTTGGGGAAGACAGAGCTTTTCTGCTCTATTACTTGTTTCTCTTCTTACAGTAAAGCTAAGATGACTTCTTCTACAGGTAATGTTTATTTAACTTTTGAAGGACTTTATAGTTCTTCTTTGACTTGAATCAGAATAATCCAAAACTTTTTGTAAGGAAATGTTTCCCTGTACTGTAGCAAAAGAAAGCTGCACTACCAGCACAGATGTAATACTGATTTCTAAAAATTGTTGTATTAGAACGTAGAATGTTGCACTTAGCTCTGCTTTATAAAACACAAAACTGTTAGTTTCATTTTTCACAGAAGGTAAAGCTAGGAGACATCTTAAAGATCACTAATAGAAAAGCACAAATAAACCAGGGTCAGCATGTATTCCATCATCAAAAAACCTCATAAAGGACCAGTAACGCTGTTTACATAGACAATAGAGTAAATGATACTTGTAAGGTTTCTACATCATGCAAGCTGGTTATTTATTGAATCTCTGCAAGATAGCTTAGAGATCATTCTAGCTTCATTATTGTTGCAGTTTATAATTCCTGAAAGAGTTAAAAAATGATACCCAGTAGGAGACTCTATAGGAGCCTTTTTTGATCTTCAAGCAAATTGTGTAAAAAGACAAGAAAATTGTGTGCAAAGGTAAAAGACATTAAACAATGGGAAATGTAAATTAGTTTAATGTTACTGATGTTATCCTAAAGAATCTGGCTTAAAACCTAATAAAAATCACTCCCGAAACCTGCACTTGCTTACAACTATTACATAGTTGCACTGTTTTTGAAATAATTGTTATTAAGCAATACTTCCTGATTGGTTGGTTTTGTCTAATTTTTAAGAAACCTTTCTGTTTGTTTTTATCAGTAAATGTTTCCATGGTGCATGATGCTTCAAGAGAGCTCCCTTCTCCAAAGGAGGCTACAACTCCAGTTATAAGCAATATAGTATCATTGGCAGATACTCAGGTTGCCCTGCCCATTGTGAACTCTGATGTCGTACAAGGTAAGATTGATGTGAAGATATTTGACATGTTTGGCCATATTTGATGAATATGCCTATAATGTAAGTTTTCTTTGTGTTGCCTGATTAAACAATTATAATTTAGAATGCTGTTATAGACTGTATTGTAATATCTTGAATTTATGCTGTAATTTCTTTTTAACAGATACAGTTTCTTCAGTAACAGCAAATGTTGCAGATGTAAGTTTTGTTCTTAACTTTTTTTGCTACTCTTTTAATTTTTTTAAGATTTATTTATTTATGCATACCAGAACTAGATGTACACCAGAAGTGCAGGGGGTGAGAGGATTCATCAGAGACAGAGCAGGAGCAGAATAGGTGAATTTACAGAAATATACTGCTGAGAAATATACTGAGACAGGAGAGGTCTGCTACGCCCTGTGGGTCACCACCTTGGCTGGGGATCCAACTCATGCAGTCTTGGTTGGTGATAGTTTGACAGCACTGAGAGTTAATTTAACCTTGCCACACCAGGGAAGACCTGCTACTATTTTTTAATGCAAATTTGAACATATTCATTCCTTTTTGATCCTAGAGCTCAAAAAAATAGATATTTTTGATATTTACATTTAATTTCCCAGTCCTCAGATTTGACCTGAAATTTTTAATAAGAATATTTAAATGGAAATGTTATTGGTCACAGTTACTCCTCTAGGCTTTTACTAATTTTTAAATGTTTCTTAAGCAATCTTAGTCACCTGAGAAATAAAAATTGTTATAATTACATCCAAAAAGATCCTTTTAATATTTAATTCTAAGTCTAATTGCAAATAAGTAATAATTATTAATGTTTTCCCCTAATGGAGCTCATCTTGTAACTCACCCATTCATTTTATTGTTGTTAGAGTAGATGTGTTTGATTTTTAATTGATATTTAAAATTTGTTATAATAAACATTATTTTATGATTTTCTCTTAAAGACTGCTAAGAGTTCACCCAGTGAAACAAGTAGTGGTGTTCCTAATAGTGGTATGGAACAATCAAGCCCTTCACCATCTTCATCTGTACTCAGTCCACATGTAGTTGGCTCTAGTTTAGTAGTACAAAAAGATCAAGTGTCAAACCAGAACCCTATACACGGTGTGAAATCTGTGAAAATAAGTGATGGACCAAAATTTACATCCAAAGTACAAAAATTTAAAGGTAAATCACAAAGTATTAAAAAATCTTGGTGTTCAAATTTTCAGCATTTGGAAAACAGTACTAAAAAGGATGTGACATTCTGTTATTCATGCCAGTTGTTCTGCCAAAAATCTCTTACCTGTGGAGGAGAGTCATTTGCAGCCCAAGGAATTTCTAATTGGAAGAAAACACTGGAAAAATTCAGAAAGCATGAAAAAAGTGAAATTCACTTGAAGTCGCTACAGTTTTGGAGAGAATACCAGCTTTGTGATGAAACTGGCAATGATAATTTATCTATTAATTCTAAACAGATAGAAGGAAATAAAAAATACCTAAAACTTATCATTGAAAATATTTTATTTTTTGGCAAGCAGTGTCTACCCTTAAGAGGAAATGACCAATCTGTTTCATTGATGAATAAAGGCAATTTTTTAGAGTTGTTAGAAATCAGAGCAAAAGATAAAGGAGAAGAAATATTTCGACTTATGAATTCACAAATTGACTTCTATAATAGCACACAAATTCAAAATGATATTATTGAAATAATAAAGACTGAAATACTGCAAGATATTGTGAATGAGATCAATGTCTCTTCAGCTTTTTCAATAATATGTGATGAAATAACTGATTGTGTCACTAAAGAACAGCTTTCAATTTGTGTAAGATACCCATATAAAACAGCAAAGGCTATCTTAATTAAAGAACGATTCTTGGGTTTCATAGATGTTGAAGAGGTACCTGGGACCAATTTACACAGGACTATCAAAACTTACTTGCAGCAAATTGGAGTTGATTTGAATAAAATACGTGGCCAAGCTTATGACAGTACCACTAACTTGAGGGGGAAATTTAACAAAATTGCAGCAGAATTCAAAAAAGAAGAGCCAAGAGCTTTATACGTACATTGTTATGCACATTTTTTGGATTTAACAGTAGTTAGGTTTTGTAAAGAAGTAAAAGAACTTCGCAGTGCTTTAAATACACTCACTTACTTGTTTAATACTATTCATATGTCTGGGGAAATGTCTGCAAATTTTCAAAAGATTTGTAAGCTAAATCAAAACAAAACATGCAAGAAACATATATCACAATCTTGTTGGACAGTCCATGATCGTACATTACTTTCTGTGATTGAGGGTCTTCCAGAGATCATTGAAACACTAGAAGTTGTATCGAGCCACTCTTCAAATACAAGTTTGGCTGATGAACTGAGTGATTTGTTGGCAATGATTTCCAAATTTGAGTTTATCTTTTGTTTAAAATTTCTTTATCGAGTGCTAAGTGTTACAGGAATTCTTTCCAAAGAACTTCAAAGTGAAACCATAGATATTTTTTCATTATCTTCAAAAATAGAAGCAATTTTGGAATGTTTAGCATCTGAAAGAAATGACATCTGTTTCAAAACTATCTGGGATGGAACAGAGGAAATCTGTCAAAAAATAACCTCTAAAGGTTTTGAAGTTGAAAGACCTTCTTCTCAGAAAAGAAGAAAAATTCAGAAGTCGCTAGAACTTGGCAATTCAGATAATATGTTTTTTCCTACTTCAACAGAAGAACTATATAAAGTTAGTATTTATCACCAAGGATTGGATAGTGTATTACAAAATTTAAAACTATGTTTTTCAGAGTTTGATTACTGCAAAATGAAGCAGATTTCAGAACTATTATTTAAATGGAATGAGCCATTAAGTGAAACAACAGCCAAACATGTTCAAGAATTTTATAAGCTTGATGCAGACATTATCCCAGAACTTAGATTTTACCGACAGTATGCTAAGCTCAATTTTGTTATGGATTATGATTGTATTAACTTCATCAATCTTGGCTATTTGTTTATTCAACATGGTCTTCACAATAATATTCCTTGCATATCAAAACTATTATATATTGCTTTGTCTTGGCCAATTACTTCAGCAAGCGCTGAAAACTTATTCTCTACACTGCCTCGTCTTAAGACATATTTATGTCATACCATGGGACAACAGAAGCTTAGTGGCCTGGCCCTAATGGCTGTTGAACAGGAATTGGTAAATAAACTGATGGAGCCAGAAAGACTCAGTGGAATCGTGGAAAAATTTATCCATCCAATGAAAGAAATCTAGTGCTTGCCAATTTGAATTTACCTGAAAGAAATTTGTACCCAGTTGTTACAGTCTTTATTTCAAATTTTGCCTCTTAAGAAAAAATTTTTTCAACGTAACCTTTAACATTCACTTTCTTCAAAATTCAGAAAACATGGAATGATACATAATGAAAAGTCTCCTTTTTTTAAGACGTACTTACTCCTCACTCAAGTATTATCTGTTTCTTAAATACCCTTTTGGAAGTATTTTTCATAAATGATAGTGTATAATGCACACTGTTCTTTGACTTACCTTTTCCATAACAGGATTATTTTTGACATTGTTCAAATGTATCAGTACATATACTGCTTTGATTCTTTTTCACAGTTGCATACAATTCATTGTACAGATACAGTATAATATATTTGCACAGTCCCTGCTGACATTTTCATTCTTTAGATACTATAAGTCATATTGCACATGATTGATTTAGTGCAAGATAAAATTTTAAATTGGAATTGCTTTATCATATTTTTGCATTTTTATTTCCCATAAATATTGGCAAATTGCTTTCTATAGATTATGTTAATTTATAGCCCCACCAACAATGTATGAGAGCACCTGTTTTCTTGCATCTTTATAAACAGACATTCTGATATTTGCCAACCTGTTATTTGAATAATAGCATTTTAATCTCTGCATCATTTAAATTTACCTAAATATAAGTTTGGATTTCTGTGAGCTGTTTGTATTTCCTTTTCCTTTTGAACCATTGAATTTAAACATTAAAACTTTAAATATAGTGCGGTGTGTTTGGTTCACACTAAGAATTCTTAATCTATTTCATGAAAATTGATTATTTTTCAAGTAACCTCAAAAGAAAAAGTTTTGTTATAAAAGTTTAGATAATGAAGGAAATAGGTTCCTCAAAGATTTAAAAGAATTTAGTGGAAGAAAATTTGTATCTGCATTTTTTTTTTTAAAGAAATATTTCTCTGGCACTTGTCCTTACTGTTTCTTTCTCTTAGCAATTTTTGTAATTGTAACTTATTTTCTGGAAAGAGCAACCATTTCATTAAAATCTATTTCACATGTATTTACTTAGAGATATAAAAATTATAAAAATTATTCTCTTAATTTCTTCTGTATAGAGCTGTACTAATTTTCCTCATTGGTTTTCCATACTCATTTTCCTTTTTGATTGGGCCAACTAGTGATTTATTTCATTTAGTTGTTTTTCAGACACACTTTTAGATTTATCAGTTCTACTTTTAAAGATTGTAGTTGACCTTAACATATAAAAATACAAAGAACTTAAGATTTAATACTGTTAAATCCTAATATGTTGCCATACTCCACACTTTTATTTTAGAAAAAATATTAGTTTGAGTTGTTGAAGCTCTCTTGCATGGCTTGTCTTAATAACATTCTTTTTCCCTAGAAGGTATGGTTATTTGGTGTCTATTCCATGCCTTTATCATTTTACACATAATACATAGCCTTGTTTCTCATGTTTATGAATTTTATAAAAGTTGCATTTTGTATATCTTTCTGCAGTTTGCTTCTTCCACTCAATGTTGCTCTTAGATTTATACATGGATTTCTAATTTATTTTTAACTGCTGAATATTCCATTAGATGATCATTCAGACTCTTCCTTTCTGTTTAGTTCTGTAGTATGCCTGGGGGTCGTGTCAATTCCACTGTGTGAAATATCTGAATCCCACATTAAATATGAACTTTGGGTATTTGATAATGTTTAGCAAATTGATAATTAAGAAAATATAGTCGTGGTTAAGTTGTGTTCTTGGTATTTTGTTTTTTAAGTAATTGCCCTTTAGAGTTAAATACACCTGGTGTTAATAGATAAAATGATATTATCTGGGACTTCAAAATAGTATGTTATTGAGGGTGGAATATGAAGGCCAGTATGAAACAAACTTCCATGATTTAATAGTTGTTGAATCTAGGTGATGTGTTCATAGTTCTTTGTGTTGTCATTCAACTTCCTATTTGGAGTTTTCTTAATAAACATTTTCTTTAAATAATTATTACTTGTAGTTCATGCTATGAATATAATAGTGTCTCAGTATTGGGAAATGTATTACTGAATGGCAACAATAAACTGAAATTATATCTCAGTAAATACTGTAAAAGCATTGGTAAAGCTTTAGCATTTGTACCTGATTTTAAAACTTTGGCAAAATTAGAATAAAAGATTCTTCCTTAATAAATTACTAGTAATAAGAGAATAAGCATACACGTATAAACCTACTCAATAGTATGTACAACGTGCTTAAAAGTAAAACATTGCCATACTCTACAAAACATCAGAAATATGCTATTTTTATATAATTATAGACTCATAAAGCTATAAGAACTACAAATAGATGTTGCATATTCTCCCAGTTTTCCTCCATGATAACATCTTGCGTAACTGTAATAGAATATCACAACAGGAAATCAAATGATGGAAGTCTACCAGTCTCATTCAGATTCACCAGATTTACAGGTACTTGTATATGCAGTTTTATCATGCATAGTTTCATTTAATCACCACCATAGTCAAGGTACAAAACATTCCACCAGTGCAATTTCCTTTGTGATACACTTTACAAATTCACCCACCTTCTTTTCTTTCTGTCCCTAACAGCTATTTTATTTATTCATTGTTACAATTTTTGTCCTCATAAAAATGAGTAGATCTAATCATGTATGTTTAGGGATTGGCCTTTTTCACTCTGAATAATATCCTTAAAATCTAAATTGTTATGTGGATCAACAAATTGTTCATTCCTGAGTAGTGGTATTACTGTACCACAGTTAAAACACTTCACCCTTTGAAAGACATTTGAATTCTTTGTAGGTTTTGACTTGCAAATAAAGCTACTGTGAACATTTGTTCACATGTTTTTATGTGAACATAAGTTTTTTGTTTTTCTAAATGCCCTCACATACAATCACTGGGTTATATGGTAACAGCATGTTTGGTTTTATAAGAAACTATTTACAGAATGACAAGACTATTTTGCATTCCCACCAGCAATGTATCCATGATCCAGCTTCTCTGCTCTCCAGCAGCATTTGGTGATCACTGTTTTTGAGTTATACCACTCTGGTAGGCACGTAGTTATGGTTTAATTTGCATTTCCTGTAGGATGATGTTTAAATTGTCTGCATATGTGTATTGGCCTTCTGTATATATTCTGGTGAAATATCTGTTCTTTTGCCTGTTTTTTTTTTTTTTGATGTTTTACTGTTGAGTTTTAATAATTCCTTATATAGCCTAAATATTAGTCCTTAATTTTTCCATTTTTGAATTGTTCTTTTGGTTTCACAGTTAACTCTTATTTAGCCCTAGATCCCAAAGGCTTTCTCCTATGTCTTTTTGTTTTCTAAAAGTTTACTCTTAAATACTTTATATTTAAATTTGTGGAACATTTCTGTATAATATGTAAGGTTAATATTAAAGTTGTTTCTTTTGCCTTTGAATATGCAGTGACTCCAGTATCCTTTGTTGAAAACACCTCCACTGATCTCCTTTTGCATCTTTGTCAAAAAAAAAAAAATCATCTGGGCAAAAGCACACAGCAAACTAGAAATTGAAATAATTTCCTTAACATTTTACAGAGCATTTTTGTTAAACACACATTTAACAGACTCAATGGTAAGACAAAGCTTTCCCCTTAAGTTCAGGAATAAGCTAAGACTCACACTTAGCACTGCTACTCAGTGTTTGTGCTAGAAGTCCTAGTCAGCACAATTAGGCCAAAAAATAGTATTTTCTTTTATAAAAAGGAAATTATAGAGTCCCTGGGAGCCTCTATGGTAGCACAGGGGTTAATTCTCAGTGCTATCAAGCTATCCACAGCTGCTGGCCTAAGGTCAATCCCCAGCCAGTGTATTTCAGTACATCTGTCTGTTTCCTCTAGTCAACGGTCTCACCTACACCTCAGTGCTTGTATGCATAAATTAAAATTTTTGAAAAGAAAAGATACTGATAATTGACAGCATAAGACATGAAAAATAACAAAATTTTAAAAAGAACATACAAAAGCCTAATACAACAATGTGAAAATACAAATAAAACAACTTTTTCTTGTGGAAAATCTCCAAAGCACCAGTCTTCCAAGTCTATTTTTTATTCATAGTATTACATATAAATTTTATTTAGAATTAAATACATTATTTTAAAATTTTTTCAGTGACCTAACTTACTGGAAATGTGGAATCAGACTGTAGAGCCAAATGTATACACTATACCAGACAATATCAATTTGCAAAGAGTGGGATCTTTGTCAAACTGATAGCAAGTCAGCCAAGGGCAATGGATTGATTCCACAAGGGAGAAATAAAGCCAAACTCCCAATCAGTTCTATAGTAAAATTGCTTTACAGTCAACTACTTATGTGTGTGAAACTATCTTACTATGAAACTTTTTTACATGAACCCCAAGATCTTTTTTTTAGTGACCTTAGGGGCTTTATTAAATTTGTGGGTTGGGCAGCATTGTCTAGATGCCATGAGGACACACACAAAATGAACTCTCAGAAAGAGGGTAAGGCAAATTAGCAAAAGGAAATATTATTTTAGGTAAATAATATTTACATTCACTCAAGGGAAGGCAGGGGTATTTTATGGCACAGATTCATTGGTAGTTAACTCTAGATTTTGGAAGAGGTTCAAACTATTAGATATTGTGTGGGTAGGGGTCCTGCATGAAGGAAGGCATCTTTAAAAACTCACATCTGGGATGTGAATTATACCCCGGACAATAGTGTGTGCTGTTACATGTACCCATCACCAGAGTATTTTTACCTCAAAAGAAATCTGTATCCTTTTAACAATCTCACCCCATTTCCCATCACTTCCTCCTCAGTCCTAAGCAATCTCTAATGTACTTTTGTAGATTTCCCTGACTTGTCCTGTCCACTTCCTCAAAGTCATCTACTGTGGGTCTTGTTACTGCCTTCACTTGGCATGTTTTCAGAGTTCATCTAGGTGGGCAGAGGACTGCTGCCTACATGTGTTTTCAAATGTGAGATTAAGTTCTTTATTCACATTTCAGTCCTACTACACCGCTATCATGTCACCATTACACATTAGATTTTCAGGCATTCATCTTACAAAGTTCTCACTTGTTTTTGACTTGTATTTCAGAGGACCAAAGATGTCAAGCATCTTGCTGTGTCTTTATTGGTCATTTGCCTATCAAAAAATTTTTTTCTCCAAATCTTTGTCTTTACACTCTGGAGATAGCCCCTTTTCAGAAAGCTTCATTTTCTATTATGTAGTTTGTCTTTTTCTTTTCTTGAGGGTATACTTTGAGGCACAAAGTCTGCCACTAAATCCAACTTACTTGTTCATTTTTGGTGTCAGATCTAAGAAACATGATTTATCTACTTTTCTTTCATTGCTACTTTCAGGCATCTACTCATTTAACTTGCACATGATGTGAGGTGAGAGCTCCCATATGAACCTTAGACTTAGGTTGTCATTTTAAGAAGCCAGTTGGGATCATGCTCAAATCTGTAAACCAGTTCAGGGAGGACAGCCATGTAAACAATGTACTCCAACCCCAAAACATGCCTTAATTTCTTACCACTGCTTTTCATTCTGACTTTGATCTGCTCAAAGTGCTGTATTCCATTATCTCAAGTATGTTTTGTTTGCAACCCATTTTAGATGCCTAAAATTACACATCCTGTGTTAAAATCTTGTGCAGTCATAAGTCGAACTTTCGGTTTAGACTTGCTGTCTCAATTTTACATTACACTGAACATGTTTAAGACCAACTTAACAGTCTTGACAGGCATGGGTCCTTAAATCTATGAAGGTGAGTGGTCTCTTCTAGGCCTGCCAGCTCCCTATCAAAAATGTTATTATATTCAATATCCACTATGAATGCCAGTCTTAAAATCTACCAAAATGAACACTGCCATCTAACCAAACTGCTTATCTTCTAATTATATGGTATAGTCAGGCAAAGAACTCTCAATCTATTAATATACCTTAGTGATTGCTAAAGTGTATTTCAAAGTACACACCTTTCAAATTAGGGTGGGGTTATGTTCCAGCATCATAGGACTATCAAATCACATCCCAACCCTGAAGATCAAAATTTGAAGTATGGCCTCTATTGAATGCAAATCACTTCTGCAGCCTAGTTGAAAATAACCCTAAATTGAACATAGTTGAGGGCTATCTGTAACCTTTGAGCCAGAAACCTGGGGCTAAATGCCTTATTTCATTCAAGTAGCCCAGTGAAAGTTGTTTTATCATTATGCCAATAGGTAGAATGTTCTCTTGGTAGCTTGCCAAGTAGTAACACTGGACAAATTGCACAATACTTCAACTCATTTTAAGACCCATTCAAACATCTCACCACTGCATCACTAGACTGTTAGTCACCTAAGATCCATAAAAGCTTTAGATCCCAAGTTGTTAATCAGAAATGACCGAAAAGTGAACCATGATAGAACAGATCCTTAATTTAGTATGTTTTCTCCAGCTACATTTAAAGGTCACATAGAAAACAAAAGTGCACGGTTTTCCTAATACTAATTAGATTTTACTTATACATATGAGTACAGAGGTACAGGAGGTGACGCACCAGAGACAGAGGGTAACAACAGGCAGATTGAAATACACTGCTGAGAGGTCTACAGCACCCTGTGGATAGAGCTCTCTGGCTGAAATCTTAACTGCATATAGCTTCATAGTGCTGTATTTTAACTCCTTGTACAAGGAGTCCCTATGTACAGCTTTCTAAAGCACATTTTATTGAACTTTTTAAAAGATTTACATAATACAAGAAATGGAGTGCGGGACAGAGGTGTGTGGGGGGGGGGGGTGAGAGGATTCAAAAACAGGTAGATCAACTGAAATACAGAAGGGGCCAGTGGGTGAGACAGGAGACATCTGCTGTGCCGTGTGGGCAAGTTTCCTGGGTAGCCAAGACAGCCACCAGGGAGGCCCCTCACTAAATTTTCAAAATAAATTGCTATACAGCTTTCAATTCTGTCCCTTTGGTTATTTTAGCAAACTCCTGAATCCAATTTCTCAACCCCAGGAAACTAGTAATTACACCTTCTGATTTTATTCACATTAGATGAAGCATCAAAGCTGAAAGACATCAGCCGAATTCAACACATGCCCCACACCTTTATCCTAAGCATGCAAGTTGATGATAGTCCTGCAACAATTATTCTCCAACTGAGACCACCAGAATTGACTTTAGTCAACTCTATTACATTCTGATAAATCTACCCACACCACATTGCCTAACAAACTCAACTTCATCATTAAAAAAATGCTCTTCAGGTAACCAAAATATGGCTATTTGGCAATACATAGTCTATTTGTTGAAAAATAACATCCATTATTATATAGTAAAACCTTTGGTTCTGTACAAAAACAGGATCAAAAACTGTTCAACCTTTAATTCAATCAAGGAAGAACATATGGGTCAACTACTAAAATGTGCTGGTTTCATCCAAGAAAACCCAGAGTAATTGCAATTTTAAAATATTGGTAACTAAATCAGTGGCAGTCAAGAACATCAAACTGAGGCAGCTCTCCCTGGTGGCACAACAGGTTAGGACACAGCACTATAAGCTGGCCACAGCCGCTTCAGTGCGAGCTCGATCGCACTGGAGGTGACTCACATGACACAGCAGACCTCTCCTGAACTGCCTGCTGCTCCCTTGAGCAGTGTACTGCCTATTCTGCTCCCCAGTCTCCGTTGAAGCCTCTTACCGCCCCCAGCACCTCTGGCTTGTACTCCAGTTCTATATGCATAAATAAACGTTTAAAACAAAACACCAAATTGACTAGCAAATCAAAAGTACTACTAAATCAAAAGTAGTTCTGCTAAAAAGGTCAAGAATTGAGTCCTAAATTAAATAATTTGGTTCTATATCTAGTACATCAAACATCTTTCATGTCACTCAGAAACCAGCCGATAGCAAGAAAAATCCTAAGAAATTAGGATTACTTAACAAACAAAAAACCAAAACAAGTATCTTATTTTTAAAAATGTCTTTATTAGTGACAACTAGGATGTTCTTCCTCTTTTCCTTCTTCCTCAGCACTGGTTTTCTGGACAGGTGACCTCATCCTGCCAAGGGAAGGACATGATTACTCCCACAGACCTAAGAATCAGTTACCAGTCATCAACACTAAGCAAGCTTCCTAGCACCAAAAAAGTAAAGAAATGTGATACTGATCATGTAATAATCTATACAAATAAGGCATCAGAGATTAACATTATACCTTATTACCCCTTATTATTTAACCACTGTTTAAATTTTGCTTCTATTTTTCTTCAGTAACTTTTGGTCTCAACCAGAATATTTTTAGGTAGACAGCTAACATTCAATAGATTCCATTTAACTGGCACCCTTAAGATGTAACATACAGCCCTCATACTTTTCTTTTTGCTACAAACTTTTATTATGATGATTTGAAGTGACATCTACCACTACATAAGCAATTTATTAGCTGAAGGTCATCTAATGTTCGTAAGTTACCTTTTTGCAAAATAGCTTTTTTGGCTCACAACCTCAGAAGGTGATTGAAAGCATTTCTTCCCACTACTCATATGACATATTCCAAAAACAAGTTTTTGTACTAACACAAGGGTCCTTTCTGAAGGCAGTTTAGAGTAAGTCATGCAACTTACTTAGACACCTCCTTGTCTAACAAATTGTTTGTCCTTCTTGGATGACTCATGCTGTGTGAGGTCTTGAGAATAGATATCCACCTATCATTAAAAAAATACAATTTCATTAAATTAAAATACTGTTCAACAGACCTATTACTTTTTTCACTTACTTTTAGTGTTACAATTTTACTGACATTTTATTTTGAAATATAGGATTAGGTCCAAAATCAATTGGTGTGATTTGTTTCAAGTTTTACTACTGCTTAGGAAAAACACAGGCCACACTAAGGTTACCCTCCCATTTTCTTATGTGTACTTAAAGCACTGTCTCTCCTATCAATGAGTAGACAGCTGTTCTATTTGAGTTAAAAAAAATCTTATAGATACTTGAAATATGTTTAAAGTGAACTTACTTCAAGTGAAATGAGTACTCCATTATCAGCCAACATCAATCATTCTTACCTAAAGAATAATAAGTAGTAGTTAATATAAAAGACAAGGGTAAAAAGGTTTGAAAATGCTAGTTAACTTCAAAATTTAAAAAGAGTAAAATTCCAGAGACAAAGATTGGGGACAAGTTACAGCATTAAAAAATAGGAAGAGGCTTCATGGGGAGGGGAAAAAATCTAGTATTATTCTTACAGTCGCCTGAATTAAGAGTACTCTTCTTTAAATTACAAAAGCCTAACTACAATTTTCACCAGTCTGAGCAGAATGAAGTTTGACTGCAATCCCAAATATACTATCCCTTATGTGAAGGTATGTGACAACTTTTACCTTACCCAATGAGTTTTAACATATTTTTTGTTGTTAATGAAAAGCACATACCCTGTTCCCCATTCAAGTATGCCTTCCATTTCCAGGTGGACTGACCACCTTCAGCAGGAGTCTCCAAGCGTGCCCTCCCCATTTCACAGTACACAGCACTGCAGTTGTTATCCTCATTATTTGCCTCCTTTCCCTCTAAGTCCTCACTGAGCTTTTAGTTAGGGCAGGGAAACTATGCCTGATCAGAACAGCAAGGAACCAAAAGTTTTTCAGAGGGAGAAGATATTCACCTTCACTATATATACCTGGCTGGGCCACAGTACACAAAAACCAGAAAAGATCAGCCTTAATTCAAGTTCCAGGTTTTTCTTCCTCCCTGCTTATCAATCACTGCCAAGGATATAAGAATGGGGCTCTCCCTGTTGCACATGTACCATCCATAAGGGATACTATATCGTTTTGCATTCTTTAACCACATCTCCAGATTGTCCTATTCTGCATCCAGCCCCCTTTTCACCCTCCAATGAAAATCTCAGCACTGGTGTTCAAATGCAACATTTTAATGTTTGATGGTTTACCAACAACTGTGGGATTTCCACAGTCGAATCTTAAAAATTGCCAATCATTATCTAGCAGCAATGACAGATGATTAGGAGCAGTCACATCCTCTGAATTCTTTCCCTAGTAGGCAGCCATTTGAGAACTGCACTAGCTAAAGAGCACTGAAACATTATCAGCTAAAGCCAAAACCAAATAAAGGCCCAGAACAACATCCCGGCTCTCTAAAACCTGTCCAAAATCATTAAGGGAAAGACAGTAAATGCAGGACTGTGGATCATGTCACTGCAGCTGACAATGATTAACAATAAAAGACATGCAACCCCCATTAAGGTTAAGTCCAAAACTAGTCACACGCATCTCTTTGTTGGGGAAAAGTGAGATTATGCATTCTTGTAGGTTTGCAACCTTGTTTGAAGAGCACCCATTGCATTTCGTTCATCTTTCAGAAAGCACCGGTATCTGTTCCAAGGGCCTAACAGTACGAAAATGCATTCTGGCATCACACCTCTGAACTTCAGACAGTTCTTATTAAAAAGAATAACTTTGGCTTGCAACAAGAAAAAGACTATGAAATACAATGCAGGCACCTCGGTAGTGTTATTACTGAAACCCATTTATTCCCAGTTTTTTGACTGATTTTTAGAAAAACCCCTGCACTAATATTCACAAATTGTAGCTACAAATTAAAACTAGTACGAATTGACCCAAGTCACAGGTTTCTCATTTGAAAGTGCAAAAAGTCTATTTATCTTGAAATAAGCAGAATGAAGCAAAAATTAAAAACCCCCACCCCAATGATATTCCTGAAGTCCATACATTACAAAGTACATTCTCTCCAAATTGTTAATAACTGTGAAGACATAACCCTGAGCTTTTACTTCTAAAACGCTCAATGCCTAAACCATGATAGCAACAGTCAGCCATTAATGAATTTTTGCCACAAGAAAATCCCTTTAGAGTTGTATGCCAATTTAGTGTTGTGTGTTACTAATACTGAGATATTGTATTCGATCAGCATTGTTATTAGTATATAGCTAAACTAGTTGCCACTTGCTCTTTCATCTATCAGAAGAGTAAAGAATCATTTGCTTGGACTACACATTAAAGCATAAATCTGCCCCCACCCTTGTGAATTGCTTGCTGAAGAGCAAGCCATTTTTCAGATGCAGTGGAAGAAAATTCTCATTCATGAAGAGTTTTCACCGGCATTTATGCAAAATTACCAAACTTCCCAGTTATAGAGCAGAAGACATTATATATGAAAACTGTTTCTCATGCATGCTAAACTACAAACCAGTTCAGAGACCAAAGTTAAGTTGGAATTGAGGTCTGGAACAACAGGTGATACAAAGCTTAAAGTCCTAAAAGCAACATAAGAAGGTGCTTTTGAAGATTATTTTTTGATAATTAAGCATTTTGGATCATAACATCACATCCCCATGGCTAAGGGAACCAAAAATCAAAACGCTACTCTGAACATTTGCAGAAAACATCCTACAGAAAACGACGAAGTCTTATGATTGGGCAATGATTCCCAACATGTATACAACTGTAGGCAAGTCAACGTGCTACACCACTTTCCCCCAGGTTTAGAGAATATAGACATATTTTAACATCATGTAACTCAAGCTATTCACATTAGATTCCCATCTAGGCCCAAGTTAATAACAAAGTTGTTCCCAAGGAGTCGATTTTTTTAAACTCACATTACAAAAAACTGTACCTTTTTTGTCTTAATTCACTCGCCTTGCAGAAACCAATATTGCATTCTGAAATTACTGGTAACTGCTGACCTATGGGCAGGTCAGTTTGCTACAACAGAAACTAATTATCACATGCTATACAGTCCAACGTCAAAGATGCTAGAAGCCTACCCAAGTATGGTTTGGTTCCCACCCCCACACCATCAATGTGTTCCATGTTATCTTCAGTTACAATGCAACTAAAGAAAACCACACAACTAAGTCAGATAGATACACGGAAGAACCAAGTTTGCACTTTTTATCTGAGAACTGCAACAGCATTGTATTCTGCCTCACAAATTACAGCTCTAAACCCAAATCCACGCAGTTTTGATAAATGCTAGCTTTACCATACAAGTGTTAGGCGCTGCACTGTAATTTCATTGTCAGAAGTGTGATGTCAGAATGCCCACGGAATAAAAGTACATAGCAAGTCACCAAGTTAGATTATATTGCTTGTTACCTACCTGTATGCAGTCGGCAATGAGAATCTCGGAGCAAGCAGGAATACTACATCCGGGTCCTAATGTCCATTGCCATTTGCGGTACTACGTTCCTCACAGTTACGCACTGCAGAAATGCTGGCTAAATGCAGTTATGTAGCAGGCCACTACTTTTAATAGTGCATAATTGCAGTCCAAGAACACCAGAAAATATTCCGCCACTACTTAGTGGCTTGCCCAAGAAAAGCCAAGTATCTGAATTTTTATCTGCCATAATATGCCACTTATTAGAATTGCACAGGCGTAACATTACAATTTCCCAAATTACCTGTTTATATTAGTGGTATAAAACATCTAGAGTGGTGGGGTTTATAGAGCTAGTTTAGTGTTCTAGCCAAGAGGATCGTTTCACTAATACTGTGAGCCAATTGCCAATGGGTTAAGCTTTTAAGATACCTCTTAAAATACACTGGGGTCTCTGAGAGAATGTAGTTTTTAAAGATTAGGAGGAGTGAAGTTAAGTTTTAAAACAATAATCAGTGTTCCTCTTAAGACAATTATGTAAGGGAGGAGAAGAGGAAATGGGGGCAGGTGGTTTCTTTAAATGAGGAAAAAAAATGGATAAAATACTTCAATCAAAAGTACTACCTTTCCCTTTCCCACCCAGTTTCGTGTCGGCTATAAGGAAATTAGTTTTTAAGATGATTTGAGTTCACCTTAGGTTAAAACCTATCATACATTGCAAGACTTATTGAAAGTCTGAGTAGCTTACAACCCTTGGTACCCTGCTGTTTCAGTGATGATGAAAGTCAAAACTTAGTTGAAACTAAGCAACATTACTTGCTAAACAACGTTTAGCAATACTACAGCCCACAGTAAGTATGGCTATCAAAGACACAACTTTCAGGAGATTATCCATTAGCATCCTTCACCACTCTTCCAAGGTACAGTACTACCAAAAACTTATTTTAGGGGTCTGTGCCAGCATCCCTTATAAAGAAAGGCATGTAATCTGAAAAATAAACTGAAACATTAATTTTATAGGCAGATTTTCCCATTTCCCCACCAGCCCCCGCCCACACATTCAAGTTCACCCTCTGTGGGTGTCCCATGAACACCCCTTCTTTTCTTACAGTTAGTGGAGTCCCTACCATACAATTCAATCAAATTGCAGTAAGACTCCTTTCTTAACAAGACCCTTGTTTCCATACAGAAAATCTCTTATGTATCACCAATTAATGATTTGGGACAAAACTTCCTCAATTAATACAATTATAAAACTACCCATATTTCCAAGTCTCTTGGTGAACAGAAATAATGAACATTTTCTAATGAGATTCTCTACCTTAATTAGCACACCATATACCTGTCAAACAACCAGATTTTGGTGATATGCCTTATATTCCACTAGTTTTACTTAGTATTATCTTGTTTCCTATGCAGAAAGTACTCGATGTTTTCGACAATAGGTATCCCTTTGTAATCAGGCACAAAACTAGCTTCAGCATTTTAACGAAGATTTGATTAAGAATTTTTCTTTTGCCAATTAGCACCAAGAACAGAGGTGAAAAAGAGGAAGACACATTCCATAGCAAGAGTTCCATAATGTACAAATTTGAATGGAAACGTAACTAAGAACAAAGCCAAACCATTCACTTTACTACTTTTAGTAAGTTGTTCCTCTGCTAACAAATTTACACTGGGAAAACAGGTTCCCACAGACAACAAAACCGATCTACTTAACATTAAGTCAAAATCTCATTCTAATGGAAGGAGATTCAATGAAGTTGACAATAAATTGACAACACCATCGAAACACTCCAGCTTTATGGTGGGAAGAGGTATTTGTACAGTGTGGCATAAGCACCTATCTCCAAATTTAGTGCTACATAAAAAGGAAACTAGAAAAACAAGTTAACAAATTTACAGTAGAATGGTCATCTGCAACCCTATTTATTATTAACAATCACCACTAGCTCTTTTAAAAGAAAATAGATTTTTATAGTCCTACAAATGTCGCCCAACAGAAGTAGCACAAAGGAGACGTGTAAGTTACAAAGTGCAAATGTATTTACCTACTTCATGGTTACTAAACTCCTTATTTTCAAGTTGAATTGTCTGGACTAAACTCCATCTTTATATATCACTGTAAGTAATACATGAAAAGACTTCATGTTTAACAATCTTTAATTCAAATGTCAAAGTTCAATACAAGCCATCTGTAGGGCTTGGGACTTGTTCTTTAAAAAAAAAAAACAAAAAAAAACAAGAACGGAGGAATGCAACAAAATGATCTTCCCACTTTTTCTTCAAAACTTTTAAGGAAAGGATAGCTCAAAAGGCCAATAAAAAGATCCATTTAGTCGTACCCACTTTCTCCCTCTACCAATAGTCTTACACCCGTTCCATAATCTTAATACACATTCCTGGAGATTTACAGTTCAGCTTTGCTTACATAACTTTAAAATTACTTTAACACCAGCTTACGTCCTCTAATACCAAACAAATCATCGAACTACTTCAATATGCATTTCTTCGTTTTAAAAACAAAGGGGTGCTTATTGGTAGAAAGCAATCAATATAAAGCCTACAAATACATTTCCCAGAAATGGCATACGCCATTGAAGGCCTAGACACTCTCATGCTTTCAAAGTGGAATACCTATAGCCTAATGTGCATAGAAGCATGAATGGCAAAGTTGAAGATCAATTAACTATTTTTTCTATTTATTTGAAGCACAGTAAAAAAAAAATTGGTACACTTTGGAAATTCAGTGGCACAAGGTACACTGCCATAACTTGAGGGACATTATACAGTTTAAAAAAAAAAAAAGGAAATAAAAAAAAGGAAAAAAAAAATCCCATTTCAAACACTGCATTACATAATTTTACCTGCCCAAACAGACCATTTACAAATATTAGGTCGATAAACTGCTAACATCCATAAAAAGGTAGCTTTCTTACTAAAATGCAAGAATTTAAAAGATTGGTATCTAAACAAGAAAAGACAAAAACAAACTGGAATGAAAGCCTAGATATCACATCTAAAATCGGGGTTTTTTGTTTGGGCCTTCATACTCTTCTCTCCCTCTACCATATCCTGCTGGAGTTCCAGGCCCCATTCCTCTAGGACCCTGTCCACCCACAGGTCCCGCACCTCCCTGCCCAAAGCGCTCAGTACGCTATTGGAACAGTAAGTAACAGTTCATTATATGTAGTTGATGTCCATGTGTGTTAAGTAAATATTTTAGAAGGTTCCGTAGTCAACGTTCGTCGATACAATCACCATTGAGTCGATCCACAGGTACCGGGAACATAGAAAGGAAAAAAGGGTAATTTGAAAATTAGTTTACGATAATACATGCCTTGTGGTATGTTCCCACTTGAGCCATTCTCATACACCTGTTTCAAAGAACAGATCTTCCCTGTAGTGCTAAAAAATTTAAGAATTAGTTCAGATGTGAAAACCCATTCCAAAATGAGTTTTAAGAATTTCACATCAGATTAACCCACTGGAAAGCTTACAAACTTCTCACTTTCAAAGTCTGAACAGGAAATTTAATTTCCAAGTAAGCCTAAGAAGCCCAACCAGACAGATCCAATTCACTCAATGAAGTGACAAAGACCTACTCACCAGTTAGTGGCATGTGCTGCATTAGAAACCTTGTGCTTTTCAAGATCTTAAGACACATCTGCTAAGTTGCAGAAATCTTAAAAGATTCAAAGTTTTAATAAAATGCTACCAGACTACAAAAAGAAAAAGCATAAAAGACTAAATGATTTAGTCACTTAACCGGCACAGTAACTTGATTTAAAAAAAGAAAAAAACAAAAAACAGTGTTGCCATATTTTCCACAGGTACGTATCACCTTCAGAGCCATCACTACATAACCAGAGCCAATTATGTTCACAGCATTGTTCTGTACTGTAATAAATTGAACATACAGCCCACCCTCATTATCAGCCCAACTTTCCCCCCCACAGGAGTCTGAAAAGTCAACTGACCCTTAGCTATGAGTCCAAGCTTGGGCTATTCCCCAGACAACATAACACCAAGCCTGAGAGACTGCAATAAAGCAGTGACTTCACAATTCCATTTACTGGTAGTTCTAGTCTTAGAACTCAACAGAAGGCCCCTACAGATATGAAAGCATAGCAGCTTGAACTATGTTTCAAACTCCATTTAAATCACCAGTTACTAAGCGTATTACTTCATAAGACAAAAAAGAAAAAGAAAACAAAATACAAACCTAAATGTAATCAGGGTTTAAACGTTTCTATAGCATAATTTAAACATTTTCTAAAATACAGTGTAAAGACTACTTGAGAAGATTAAATCTCAATCCTTTGAACTGATTTTCAAAATCCTAAGAATTTTTGATGTACTGTAAATCTCACAAAACTCCAAAAGAAAATTTGAGTGTTTCATGATTGTTATTAAATCTTAGAACCAAGGAGCTACCTACTCATGACATACAGAACTGTTACTGTGGGAACATTATGTGGAGTTGGAACTTACAGATTTGCTATGTACCTACAAGGATGCCTTTTAGGAAGCACATAAACTAAAAATTTGAAGTTCAACTCGAAGGCAATACCTATTTAACCCAACCATTTACAGATATTTATTCTTAAAAAGACTTAAGGAGATATTTAAATAGATGAGACCCCATGCTAAATTCTTTATGTCCCTATTGTAAAATAAATCCAGTGAACTACATATTAATGCTGCAGCTTCTTCCCTCCTTTGCCAAAAGCCTATAGGAGAACTAATCAGAATCAATTCAGTTATGAAAATGTACTCTTCTCAAAACCCACCTCTAAAACCAGTATTTAGTTCTCCTAAGGACTTGTAAAGCCCAAAAACAGCCAACTCAAGACCATTAACATTTGGATTGTTCTAAAAGCATCCTGACAGGCTTTCTGTACAGCCAAAACATGATACCATCAAGAAGATTTATATAAAAATGCACACAACTGGTATGCTTAAAGTTGTCATTGATCTTTGCTACCCTGTAGCAAAATAGAGATGTCAGTTTATTGTGAAGGTGCACCTATAGACAGGCCCAACAGGTGGGAAACGACGAGTCAAAACACTCAACAATTCCCTTTTCATGGGTAGAAGCCACACCAAATACACGTCAAAGATCAAAGACTTACTCATCACTAAAATATGCCTAAAGCTACAAACTACAAGCCTGACTCATACTTATGGCAAATACCAGCTTAATGAAGGACAGTTTGCCATTTGATTACTCTCACTGGGATGTAGAATAATCAGGTACATTATCTATTTTGGGAATTTGGATTTGTTATGCACTAGTGTGCAAGAGTACACAGCAATATAATGGAAAGCAGCACCTATTTCTACTTATTACCAAAGATAACTCCACATACTAACAGCAGTGACTTTTTGTTGGAAACCCTATCTGTTAGGTTACCACACACTGAGTTCTTCTATGTTGCCAAAGTATTCCTCAACATTACAATTTATATGATAGGAAAACTAAAAGAGGTCCAGTCACCTACTTAAAAAAAAAAAAAAAGAAAAAAGAAAAAACACACACACATAAGTGGGTGAAAATGAGAATTTCCTTTGTACTACGTCCCCAGGATACATTACCATGTCGCTTCCCATCATGGAACCACTCATGGTTGCTGGTGGAACTCCAGGATTAGCTTCATAACCTATGCCACCACCACCACCTAGCGGTGGAAATTTCTGGCCTCCTGAACCATAAGGATCTAGGAAACAAAAATGCTGATTACAACTCAACCAGAATACTGCTCTCAAAGTATCGCTAATTAAATTTTCATGCTTACCTCCCATGTTCATTGCTCCTCCACCACCCATTCTCATGTCTCTTTCTCTCTGGAAGAAAAATCATCTCTTTCATACATGTGTACTACACTCACTCCCAAGCATTTTTGAGCACAAAAAATTCCAGAACTAAAAAAGAGCAACTTTAAAAGTGAAAAACCCAACACAGTTGCAAACCCAATTATTGGAGCTCTAGTAAACTTCCCAATAAACACTTTTGGCACACCCAACATAAAACCTATGGTATATCAGCCATAGCACACTACTTTTAAGAAAAAATAATGGCAATACCTGGCAATGTAACATCTTAATGTATGAAATTCTATTTTGGGTACCTACAAGTTTTGTAGACAACTCCTAATTGGACTGCAATAAAAATTTACTTACAGGATCCATGTAGCCCATCCGGCTATAACTTTCCTCTCTCTGCCGTCTCATTTGTTCTTCCATCTCACGTTGACGGATCATCATTTCTTCTTCCCTTCTACGTCGTTCCTCCTCTTGTCTATAAATTTTATCAGACACATAAAGCAAAGTATTACCTACATCTTATTATATTTATTATATTTAATTTGCTAAAAACCTGGTCGTTTTTTAAGAAATCTAGAAAAGCAAGGATACAGCAAACCAACAGAAAAGCTTGAAGAGTTCAGTGGACTAAACCTAAGAAAATCTTAACTCTTAATTCCACCTAAATGAATACTTAAATATCTAACCTCTCCTGACTCAGCTGGTAAATTAAAAGTATACCTTTTCCAGAAATTTAGTACAGAAAAAAAGTTCAGATTAACAAAATTTTACCTTAACTGCATTTCTTTACGTTTCTGCATTTCTTGATTGTGAAGCTCTTCCATGCGCCTTAATTCTTCCTGGCGTCTCATCAGATCTAATATTGTGATATTTTGGATTCATATGAGTATAGTTTTATTAAGTTCAAAAGCAATTGAACATATTAGCAAAATCAATCAAATTCACAGGATTTTTTTACCTTGACGCAGAAGATTTGCCTGATGCTCATGATAGGCATCTTCCATTTCACTTTCCAATTTGTCTTTTGCATCTTTCATGTTTTTTTCAACTTGTTCCCTTTGCTGTTTTTCCATTTCATCTAAGGACTTCCACCTCTGTGAATATTCGTACTCAAATGTGCCATGCTGGGCAAAACGAGGAGGGGTTTCCCTCTCCCTGGAAATACATATACATGAACAATTTGTAGATGTACCTAAGAAATATTACCAATTCTACTAAACACATTCCCTTATCATTTATAAAAAATACCAAAAAGGCAAAGACCACACCTTGAGTCATAAAACATCTTGACAGCAAAAGTAGTACCTTTTCCAAAACAATACAGTAACAGACACATACGCATAAAGCCTACCCTCTTATCACAATATAAATTGTTTCTTACAGCCAGATTCCTGTATGTTTCCCTCATCTTTAAAAAATGAAGTTACCTATACGTTTCAGAAACAAACACTAAGCATTTGAGTCGATCTTTAAACCCTCAGAGGCTTCCCTGGTGGTATAAGGAGTTAAGTCTCAGCACTACCAAGCTATTGGCAGCCAGGAAGCTTAGTCACATGGCTTAGCAGACCTCTCCTGTCTTACCTGTGGTGCTATCGACCACCCCCATCCCCCAGCAGTGTATTTCAGTTGATCCCTGTTCTGCTTTCCACTGTCTCTGGGGAATCCTCTCACCCCCACACCTCTTGCTGTACCCCACTTCTTGAATGGATAAGTAAATAAAAATAAAACTTAAAAACCTCAAAGGGCTTTGTATATATTAAAGATTGGAGAACTATTAGAAATATAAAGCTCACCTTTACAGTTAAATTAAAAGTATAGTCAATCTTACTTTAAGGGCATCTCTGGTGGTGCAAGGGGTTGAGTCTCAGCACTATGCACTACTAGCCACTGCAACACCGGTTCCATCCCTGGCCAGGGAGCTGGCTCACATGGCAAACTGGACCTCTCCTTCCTTGCCTGCTGCTCAGCCCTCAACAGTGTATTTCAGTAGATCTACCTGTTCTGCTCCCCACTGTCTGTGGTGAATGTTCTCACACAATCACCCCACTCCTGCCCTGGCACCTCTGACCTACATTCCAATTCTTGTATAGGTAAGTAAACCTTAAAAAATTATTTCATTAAGAAAATTCTTACTTTTGATACATTGGATTCTTCTGGGCAAGTTTTTCAGGAAGACCATCTTCATCATCTAACTGTTCAAGTGGTTCCACAATGACTGGACGGGGAGTTCTATCAACAAAAAGGGTTCCATCTTAATTCTGTCCTAGATTAAACTAATTTATCCAATAATTAGAAAAAGCTCACAAACTTACGTTGTCAGTAAGAAAACACCTTCACTGCATCTTTCAAATGCTTTTCTTGCTGCTGGTTTAGAAGCAAATTCAACAATGCCTTTCCCTGTAGATCTTCCACGATCATCCACAATTACAACAGCCCTTTCAATAGGACCAAACTGGCTAAAGGCTTCTTCCAACAGTTCATTGGAAACATAAGGTGACAGATTTCGTACAGAGAGGGCAGCAGCATGTGTGGCAAACCGCACTCGAAGCTGTCTACCTCTCATAGGTGTATCATCAAGTTCAGCTTTGGCAATTTCAGCCAAAGCTCTGGATTCCTGTAAGCATCAGACATACTCTTATCAACATTGGCTGATACCCATTATGAATTTGTCTTAAGCCCACCCACTCAGTCTTCCTCCAGCTCAGATCAAGTTATCAAGAAAACTTCCCCTACTTCATTCAGGGCAGGCAGTTAAATGTGTGAACCCACCCACTCCCATCCCTTCTTATAGATATCAAAATTATGCAGTCCTATCTGTCCTGGAAAAACTTTAAATATTAACATGTTAGTTTAAAAGCCCACAAGTTCATGGTAGGAAAAAAACGCTTTTAATTCTACACAGATTCAAACTTACCAGCTTGATAAATCCAAATCCTTTGCCTTTGTTGATAAAAACTTCTCCTGGCTCTCCGTATTTAGCAAACAGTCTTTTGAATTCATCCTCTGTGATATCAGCTGGGAGATTCCCAACAAACAACCGGCAACGCTGAGTATACGTTTTCTCTCCAGGCCTCCTCAAAAGAGACAAGTTGGCTTTAAACCCCTAATGAGAAAGAAAGGGAATTTTGAGACATCAAGGACCTCTCGCTTTTCTCAACTGTATTTTACTTTACAGGGTCGCTCATCTTTTCGGTTGAAAAGTCAAAAATCAAGGGTTCTACAACATAGGCGAGATTTCCAACACATGACTACACTAACATCAAACTATCCCCACCATCCACCACCAGAAACGCCCGAGAGACCTCTTCCGATTACCTAAAAGCAGGAACCTGTCAGCTGGAAATGCTGTGTCCCCGGCTAATCTAAATCGCACGGCGCAACTGAAACCGATACTCAAGTACTAAATCACAAGAGCCCAGCTATCACCGACCGGTTTTGCACTCCCAACCCTCTATTTCATGCCCTACTCCAACTCGGTTCCCAGGGCCAGTTAGGTCTAACAGAAGGTGCATCATAGCTTCTCCCCGACCCCGGCCTCCCCGTGGTCACCCGCCCGCGGCAGGCCAGCCCCGCCACGGCTAGCGGATCCACGCCGCCAGCCCCTCTCTCGGGGGCAGCCCGCCCCGCCCTCCGCGCGCAGGCGCGCTTTCCGGTCTCAACAAAATGGAGGCATGAGCGGAGGAGGGGACGGGGGAGGGGGCCGCCGCCATCTTAGAGGAACCGACGCGTAGCTCCAAGGACGCTCACCTCCGAGTCGGAGATCTTCTCCTCGCTACGACCACCGGGACCGCCGGGCGGGGGACCCTGGTGGTGCTGCTGGTGGTAGGGCGGGTGGTGCTGGCGGCCTCCGCGGGGCTCCCCGCCGCCCCGATGCGGCGGCTTGGGGTGGCCGCCAGGAGTGCCTAGGCCCGGGCCACCGCCGGGCTTCGGCCCGCCTGGCATCTTGCCGCCTTTGGGGCCGCCGGGTCCTGGGCCCTGCTTAGGCCCGGGTCCTGGGCCGCCGGCGGGTGGAGGTGGTGGACCCCCAGTCTGGGGAGGTGTGGTGGGGACGCCGCTACTCGGCGGCGCTGGCGGCGGCACCCCGGGGGGCGCCGAGGTAACCGCGGGCGGCGGAGTCGGGGTGGGGCCTGGGCCCGTGGGCGCCCCAGATGTCGGAGGAGTGGCGGGTGGCGCCGAACCGGAGGCCGGTGGAGCGTTGCCTACCCCGGGAGCCGGGCCGGGTCCCTGAGGAACGACGGGCTTGGACGAATCCTGTGGCGGCGGCGGCTGCGGATGCGGCTGTTGATGCGGCGGCGGCTGAAGCGGTGGCGGCTGCTGTGGTGGTGGCTGCTGCGGCGGTGGCTGCTGCTGCTGCTGATGCGGAGGCGGTGGCGGGATAGGGGGCTTGGGACCACCCTGGCCCGGGCCAGGCCCCATGGGTCCGCGGTTCTGATTGAGGCCCATACCGGGCGGCGGGGAGCGGAAGTCGTGAAGGCCGCCGCGGCCCCCTCCGCCTCCGCGTCGGTGGAAGCCGCCGCCGCCGCCGCCGCGGCTCCGGAACCGATCCCGAGACATGTCTGGGACCAAGGGGCGGTCGAGGCAGAAGCGGAGAAGACGCTCAGGGAACGTGGAGGCCACCTTGCTTCGCACAAGATGGCGGATGACACAGGCGGCGCGCCGCCTTTGTCCTCTTCTTATATAGGCCAGCTGGTATGGCCCCGCCTACTTCCCGATCGATAGCTTCAATAGCCAATTGCAAGTACAGCACTTGATGACACCAAGTTACGAAGCGCTAATCTTTCCTATTGGTTCTGGAGTGAGAGGCGGGAGGCTTGGAGTAGCTGAAGCTTCCACTTGGCCAATGAGTGTAAAAGGAGTTGGCTGTAGGCCACTGTGATTTGCTGGGAGAAATTTGAATGGGTACGCCAGATCAATTTTCCCGTGAAAGCATATAGCCAGGGCCCTATCAGCTCCTGGGGAGAGCTGTTAGAGGGCTCTTTTCTTCCTAGATTGCCTTTATGAGCAATCTGCTGGTATCCCTTCCTGGAAAGAACAGATGGTCTTTGGCTTAAAGGCATAAATTGAGTTCCTACTATCTACCCTACCTGGGCCAATATTAACTAGAGATATAAAGTTGTAACCGATTTATAACATACACATTCACTGATTTCATTATGGAACCTCATGGGAGTACAAGTTGATTCTAGTAGTATTAACTTCCCAATAGGTTTATATATATATATATATATATATATATATATATATGTATGTATGTATGTATGTATATATATATGTACATATATATGTACTCTTAGTTCAAAAAGAACAGGTCCTGGTTTTGTTTTTGTTTATAGACTAATTCACAGACACAAATTACAGGACTATAACTTTTTCTTTAATTCCACTACCTTTCAGCATTATGAAGTCTTTAAAATTACAATATCAGCCTTTCTTTGTTTCATTTTTAAACTTTTTTTAAAGATTTACTTTGCATACAGAACTGGGGTACAAACCAGAGATGCAGGGGCAATGAGAGGATTCACCAAAGACAGAATGGGGAGCAGAACAGGTAGATCTACTAAAATATATAGCTGAAGGGAACAGTGGGCAAGACAGGAGAGGTCTGTGTCGCCAGGTGGGTCATCTCCCTTACCAGGGATTAAACTAGTGCTTCAGTGGCTGCGGATAACTTGATAATGCTTGGACTTAGTCCCTTGGGCCATCAGGGAGGCCCTTTTCCTGGTAACCCAGGTATTTAAGAAAATATGTAGGGCCCTCCCTGGTAGCCCAAAGGATAAAGGCACAGCACTATGAAGTGATTGCAGTCACTGTAGCACAAATTCGATCCCTGGCCACGGAGGTGACCACATGGTGTGGCAGACCTCTTCTGTCCTGCCCACTGCTCCCCTCAGTAGTGTATTTCAGTCAGCCAGCCTGTTCTGTTCCCCACTCTATCTCTGGTGGATCCTCTCACTTTCTCCCCTGCACCTCTGATTTGCACCCCAATTCTTACATGTGTAAATAAATAAATCTTTAAGCAAATTGAAAAAGAAAAGATGGAGTTGTTTCTTTGGCCACATACATAAGACTGGTGAGAAAGGTGACATTATAGCCCTCAATAGAGTGGACACTGTTCAAGGGCCCTCCCTGGTGGTGCAATGGGTTAAAGCACAGCACTATGAAGTTATCCACAGCCACTGCTGCATGAATTTGATCCTTGGCCAGGGAGCTGAACTACATGGCACAGCAGACCTCTCCTATCCCACCTGCTGCTTCCCTCAGCAGTGTATTTCAGTAGATTTGCCTGTTCGGCTCCCCACTCTGTCTCTGATAAATCCTCTCACTGCCTCCCCTGCACTTCTGGCCTCTCCCCCACCCAGCTCTAGTATGCATAAATAACTTTTTTAAAATGGGCACTGTTCAAAATGGGGTGCCCCAAAAATATTACCATGGCAAACCCGGAAGAGTCTATGTCACCCAGCATGTAGTTGGCAGTGTCATAAGCAAACAGTAAGGGCAAATTCTTGCCAAGAGCATTGATGTGTATATTGAGAATATCATGGTCTCTAATAGCCAAGATAGTTCCTGAAACGTGAAAGGAAATGATCAGGAAAAAAAATGGAAACCAAAGAAAGTTTTTTATTTAAAGATTTATTTATTTATGTATATGAGAACTGGGGTGCAGGCCAGAGGTTCGGTTTGGGGGTAAGAAAATTCAATAGAGACATAGTGAGAGCAAAACAGGACTGACTGAAATACAATGTTGAGGGGAGCAGTGGGCAGGGTGAGAGAGGTCTGCTGTGCCATGTGGGTCAGCTCCCTGGCAGGAGGTTGGGGGAGATAGAACTCCTGCAGCAGTGTTGCTGGATAGCTTCGTAGTGCTTCAAATTAACCCTTGCAGCACTCTGCAGAGAAGCTCTCTTCTTTTAACATTATGTTCCCACCTGGCCAACTTCTTCCCATTTTTTGGTTGGCTGCCATCCATCCTTCAGGACTTAACTTATACTTGCTCTTCTCTGAAGTCCTTCTGTGACCCCCACAAATCCAGTGGCTTTATTTGATTAGGACCCTGTGCTTTCATTCGCATAACATTCACCCTACTTTATTGTAGAGTCTTTCTAAATCGTACCCTGGACAATGTAAGATCATTGACTTAGATCCCTTTTTATTTTTTAGAATTTATTTATTTTATGCATACAAAAACTGGGGCATAGGCCAGAGGTGCAGCAGGTGAGACAGAGTGGGGAGAACAAGAGGATTACTGAAATACAATGCTGAGGGGAGCAGTAGGAGAGACAGGAAAGGTCTGCTGTGTCATGTGGTAACTCCCTAGTTGGGGATCAAACTCTGATTGATTTATTGTGCTGTGACTTAACCCATTGTGCCGCAAGGGTGGCGCTAAATCCTTTTCTTTTTTTAAGATTTATTTATTTATGCATACAGAACTGGGGTACAGGCCAGAGGTGCAGGGAGTGAGAGGATTCACCAGAGACATAGGTGATCTATTGAAATATACTGCTGAGGGGAGCAGTGGGTGAGACAGAAGAGGTCTGTTGTGCCATGTGAATCACCTCTGGAGCCAGGGATTGAACGCCCACTGAAACATTGTGGGTAGCTTCATAGTGTTGAGTCCTAACACACTGCACCACCAGGGAGGGCCCTAAAATCCTTTTATTAACCACCAACTCCCTAGAACTAGGATTTGGCTTAGCTTAGGCAACCTTCCTTTTCTGAGCCACTGAAGAATGCTCCTAGTCATAAATGTTGGATTTCAGGTATTAAACGACCCCATGGATCAAATGTGTATTAAATTGTGCTGAATGGCATGTAGAACAATCTTCACCTTGTAATAGACTGGGGGGGAACTTACAATTCAAACATTATATTACAATAAATAAAATGTTTAGTTATCCCCTAGTTTGAGGTTTTTTTTTTAAAGATTTATTTATTTGTGCATACAGAACTGGGGTATAGGCCAGAGGAGCAGGGGCAGCGAGAGGCTTCACCAGAGACAGAGTGGGGAGCAGAACAG